GGGGCTGAACCTGGACGAGTGTTCGATGTACGAGGACATTTCCCGGGGGGTCCAACCCACCTACCAGGATGTGAGGACCCTCCCCGGCGACTCCCAGCTGGAAAAGCCCTGAGGGACCCCCCGAAAAAGGGGGGTGGGACCCACCGGGAAGGGGTTTGGGACCCCCTGGCTCTGCTTGGCCCCCCCGATGCTCTGCTCTGGTGACAAAAGGCTGTGCTGACCCCCCCCAAAATAAAGCTGCTGCACTGCTGGATGGGTTCTGTGGGTTTTGGGGGGTTAGTTACTCATGTCAGTGCACAAACACCCCACAGATTGTGCCAGGAAGACACTGAGAACACACAGCCCTTTGAAATGGGATTTAGAGCAGTCAAGCTATTCCAGAGACAGGGGAATTGGTGTGGAACTAGAGTAGGGATGAAAAGCTGACACATGGATCCCCAGTGCTGGGGCACCTTTCTGTGGGTGCTGCAGGTGCTGGGCAAGGCTCACACAGCCCTTCCATAACACCCCCTCTTCCTGAGCCAAAATTGGCATTCTCCAGCCGGGCACAGTATCTGTTGGATTCAACCCGGGGGCGTTTTAATTTCCAGATATAACAACATCCTTTCCTTTAGTAAAGTCTCTGTTATTTCATAATTGAAGAGGTTTCTGTTTCCACTACACGTTTATCAAATGGAAGCAAAGAGAATGCCTGATACACAGCCCATCCTGAGACGTGGTTGGGCTGACAGCTGAGCTCTGTGAGCACCTTGAACCAGAATTTCAGCTCCTCTGTGAGCACCTGAGGGACAAAAAGCAGGGCTAATTTATCACCCATCAATCTACCAAAGTGTATAACCCCAGCCATGAGGGAACAACCTCATGGAGCAGACAAGGAGGAGCAACCCTTTGCTCCTTTTATGTAGGGGACTCAGCAGCAGGACTGGGTGACCAGAAGAAAATTTNCCTTGAACCAGAATTTCAGCTCCTCTGTGAGCACCTGAGGGACAAAAAGCAGGGCTAATTTATCACCCATCAATCTACCAAAGTGTATAACCCCAGCCATGAGGGAACAACCTGACGGAGCAGACAAGGAGGAGCGAGCCTTTGCTCCTTTTAATGTAGGGCACTCAGCAGCAGGACTGAGTGACCAGAAGAAAATTTTTGGAAGTTTCTGCAGCTTGCTTTTGATCTCCCAAGGAAATTGTAGCTGGCTGGTAACGCTGTCATGTAAAAAAAAAAAACCAAAACTAATGCATAAATTTAAGGTGTTGAATATTTGTAATCTGTCAGATTTCATTTTGTCTTCAACGTGGCACCAAGGCTGTGGTCTTGCCCCAGTCTGCTTAGTTTGCAGTTAAATTCATCAGCTAATTGTGTTTAATGTCCTTTAGAGTATGAGTTCCTGCTGCTGTCACCTTTGGGGTGTGGTCCAGGTGGAGGGTTTGCAGCCTTTTGTCAGGGAAATGTCCCACTGAGACAAGGACACCACAGCCTCAGCCAAGAGGGCAAGCTGGGATCACCACCCTTCTGGTAGGGGAACAAATGAAGGTTTCTGGCAGCAAAAACAGGTTGTTTGTATCTGATTAAAGCTTGAGAAAAGCCATGAAATATGAGTGTGATAACCTTGGTATTACAGTTTGTGAAAGGCCATCCAGCCCTTCCCATTACACCAGTCAGAACTTCCCCTCATTTCACACTCCTAAATAAAAAAACCAAAATCACTCACTTTGTGACAACTATGTAATTGTGGTGTGGATACTGATATCACACTTGTAGGGTGAAGTGGAAGAGAAATATCTCACTCTAGTGTTTTTCCTGTAATCATGCATGATTTGCTCTGTTTTTCCCTAGCTTTCAATATCCAGGTTAACGTTGGTGTCCTGCTCACATACCCCATCCTGATCTCCATCGGCACAGTGCTCAGCGTCCCTGGAAATGCAGGTACCACGGCTGGTGGTGGAAAAATAACCCCACGGGCACACAGACAGCACAAGCAGTTTATTGTCCAAATACTCAAAATCTGTTGTCACCAGGGCAGGGGGTATACGTGGAAATTTATTCCAGAGTCCTGTCTTGTTGAATAGCCTCTGCCTCTGCTCTCCCACCCTCTCAGCCTCGCCGCTCCTGGGATTTGAGCATGTTTTCAAAGAAACATCTATTTTTAGGGGGATGCAGGTCAGAGCTGCAGAACAGTCAGTACCTGAAGGAGGCTGCCCAAGGGCTCAGGTGCCCTCTTGGTGCTGGTTGTGGGTCTGGGAGGCACCGACTCCAGCTCTCTGACCCACGTGCTGCTCTCTCCCAGTCCCTGGTCTGTGCAGCCCAAGGAAACATTCTGCTGGTGCAAACTGTTGAAGATAAAGAGTTACCATAAAGTGCCTTCCCTCTCAGAGAAGAAGTCACAGAATCATAGATTCATTAAGGTTGGAAAAGACCTCCAAAATCTCCAAGGAGATTGGAGGTTGGACCTCCAAGTCAAACCTTCAACAAAATACCCCCATGGCCACTTAATCATATAGTGAAGTGCCACGTCTACTCACTTTTGGAACACTTTCAGGGATGGTGATTCCACCACTTCCTTGGGGAGCCTGTTTCAGTCCTTAGCCATTCTTTCAATTAATAAATATTTCCTAATATCCAACCTGAGGCCATTTCCACTTGTTCTGTCACTCGTTACCTGAGAGGCAAACACCTACCTGCCTACAACCTCCTCTCAGGGAGTCATAGAGAGTGAGAAGGTCACCCTGAGCCTCCTTTTCTCCAGGCTGAGCCCCCCCAGCTCCCTCAGCTGCTCCTCATAGACCCTTTCACATGGAAACCTTGAGGCTTGGATCCCACAAGGCTTCCTCAGAGCCTGCATGAGGTGGTGAGGGATGGAAGAGATGTGGCACTTCCAGTGCTGTGCTATCAGGTCAAAGCTGTTCTCTGAACTAAGGGTGCTGCTCGCTCTGAAGATCTGAGAACTGCATGGCCACTGTCACAGCCAGAGTGCAGCACATGGGTCACAGAGACGTGCCAGGCTGCTCTGATGCCATCATCCATATGTTGGAAATCAGAGACAAGGAAAAAACTAACAAAGGCAATTCAGCAATTGTGCTGAAACTCTCTCTGTCTGGGAAAAAGATAACAAAAAGACTGAAAATGCGGATTAATTAGCATGTGAAGCGAGCAATCAATAACCAATAGAAGATAGAATACTAATTAATGAAGAGGATTATGAAATTTATAGCCAATGAGCATTAATTCCTTTGTTTGCTAAAAATGCATAAAATAGTGAAAAGTATTGAAAGTGGGTGTGTGTGTCTGGTGGAGTGACCCCACAAGCACCCTGATAATAATGGTAATAGATTATTATTAAAGTATATAAATGCATAGAAATAACAAGGTAATAAAGTAATGCCTGCTTTCCAATACTAAAAAAATAGCTACAGAGCTTGATTTGTCCTGGTTTTGTTGACACATCCCACTGCTGGTTTGATGTTGTTGCTGTTGTTCTTGTTTCCTTCCCCGCAGCCGTGGATCTGGTGAAGCACAAAATGATCTTCAGCGTGGTGAGGTTGGGAGCCACCATCATCATCTGCATCGGGTTCCTGCTCATGCTGCTCCCCGAGGAATGGGACGAGATAACCCTGAGGTTCATCAACAGCCTGAAGGAGCAGAAGAGTGAGGATCACGCCGACGAGATCCCAGAGTCCAGCGTACACACGAGGAGCAGGAGCAGAGCTAACGGGACAGTGTCTGTACCACTGGCTTAGGGCTGGGGGACCTCCCCTGCACGCAGGTGTATATTCTGTGGATACAGCTGAAATCCCCTCACCACCTGTATGCTTAAAAAAAAATGACATTTAACCTGAACAAGGGATGGACTGTAAGATAAGAGAAATACATCTATAATAAATGTTTACATTTATACACTTATCGAGGAATGGGTGTAAATAACTACAATAAAATGTTTTGTAATAAAAAAGACATTTCTGCTGGCGTCTCAGTGAAGTGGTGGGTTTAAAATGTGGATCAAGTTTACACCATTTATCTCCTTTTGCTTTTGCCTTGAGAGGCATTCTCAAGGATACAAATCTTGGATATTTCCAGCCAAATCTCAGAATTGAACATCTCGACTTGCCTTCAATAAGGTGACCTTTCAGCAAGGTACTAGGTTTGGAAAACCATTTCAAACCTCTCCTGGCATTTTTGAGAATTCATTTGTGAAAGACCCTGATGTTCTCGTTTGCATTTGGAATTATTATCAGAAAATATCAGCAAAACATGAAGCCTCCATCCCAAACCATGCTGAGCTGTGCCTCTTTCTAACACCACCCTTCTAGAATTGGTGCTGGGATTTGGAAAAGCCAAAAATGATTTTATTCATCTCTTTTTCCCCCAGAAAAGCTGCACTCCCAGCTGCACGACAAGCTTCTCAGGAGACATGGAACACCCCAGATTGCCAGTGTCCTTGGGAAATTCCTATTTTCAGTTCCTATTTTCTAGGGCTTTGGGACAAACCAATATTTTTCTTAACCTCCACTGTGGAAAAGTCTTTCAAAAGCCAAAACAAATCAAACAACCTTCCAGTCTCTTCCCTAAGCCTATTGCTGTGTAATTTAGGCTGGTTTACAGCATTCCTAGGACTGACCATGCAAGACTGTCTTTATTTGAGAGCACTTGATATGCAGACAAGCATTTTTTTCCCTTTTCTTTTTTATTTTTAAAGGGATAATAGAAACAACTGGAAAGTATCACAGGTTGCTGAACTCTGCTGGCTCTACTGCCCACAGTTTGTAAGTTTACTTAGCAGCTAGAAGGAGTTTTTTTGCTTGTGGGTATTTTTTTTTATATCAATAATGTTTCTGCCAGGAAAAAATAGTCATGTAAATAGTAACAAAGGCACTTTTAGATTTTATTCTTCCCTTTGAGGTCTTTATTTTATCCTTTAACGTCCATGTCCAAACTGTTCCTTGCAACGAGCAGAGCTGATAAAATACTTGTGTATATTTAAAAAACCCACAGCTGGGCTCCTTTATCACATGACTGAAGAATTAGGGCTGTAGAAACCAACCCAAACCAACTGCTACCTGTGCATTAAACCCAGAAGTGTAAGGTTTGGGTACACTTTTACAGCTCCTTGTCTGCTGCTTTTGAAAGGAGCTAGACATAGAAAAATATCCTAAAAAAGTGAAGTCTATGGAACAGGAGATACTGATGGTAAAACACCGATGGGCTGAGAGCACACAACATATGGCAGCTTGGACACTACCTCAAGTTGGTTTTGGAGTTGATATATTCATTTACATTACTAGATTAGGGGATGTGTTTTACTGAAATTTTAGCTCCTGCCAAACTGAACACACGGGAAAAACAAAACTTTCATTCAGTATGCACTGATGAGGACTTTTGGCAAGCAGACTCATAGAAGCATCTTCAGGCACAGGACTGGATCCTTCAGGAACGTCACTGAACTTGAAAGCACCCACCGGAGTGTCCCTAGGATGAGTGGGAAGGCCTTAGAAAGGCTGGAGCACTCACTCTCTCAACTCCAAATCATCCAATACAGATTTGGCTTTGTATTTTTGAGCCCTTCAAAGCTTTCCTGGCCAGTTAGCTCCCTGCAGCAGAGGAAGGATCAGTGTTTTTGCAATATCCTCCCTTGTTTGGGGTGCTTTTGGAAGACTGAGGGAACTTTTGTTCCTTGAGGGCTTTTATCCCTTACCAGAATTATTCTATTCTTATCCCTTAATAGAAAACCCTTTGCAAACCAAACAATGCCAGGGTTTTTTGCTTCTGTTTAGTTTTTGAAATTGACTCTCAATGGACCATTTGAAGGCAAATGAGTTGCTGCTGATTTCAGTGCAGCTGCGACTAAAGGGGTCAGAGCAGCATTCGTGCCCTTGCCCACACATTGTGTCACAACCCCTCTGTTTAGATGGCCACCAACCAAGACTTCTCCCAAGGAGGCCATGCCAGCTTCTGTGGAGGCCCCGTGCCCTTCCCACTGCTGCTGTGTTGGCAGCCGAGGGGGTTCTTTCTGCTGCCACAAGCAGGCACAGGAGGGGAGTGTTTACTCCTTTTTGGAACCGTTCCTAAAGTTCACGTCCAGCTGTCTCAGATGCTTTAGGGATCGGATTCCTTCCAACCTGGGGCAGGTTGACCAGGTTGGGGGAGGCCCCAGGGCCCGTGTCCGTGTGTCACAGGGCCCTTTGTGACATGGTGGCCGTCGCCAATGGGATGGGACAGGGCAGGGTGTCCAAGGGCCCTTTATGACACATCCTGATATAGGTGTTGGGCGGCAACGCGGCCGCGCCACAGTGCTCGGAGCACGCGTCTGGTCAGGACGGGACTGAGCGGGGCTGTGAGGAGTCTCCTCGCAGCCAACTCATTCGTTGCTGACCGGAAGCGATTCTGAGAGTTTTTTTTTGAGCAAGTTCCCTTGAGGCCACACCACAGGAGTTGGTGACCCGGAGGTTTTTCCGAGGCATCCCCACTCCCTGTGGGAGTGGCCCTCGAGGCCAGGCCACAGGCCTTGGTGACCCAGAGCTTTTCTGGGCATCACCAGTGCTTGTGGAAGGTGCCTACGAGGCCAGACCACGGGACTTGGTCACCTGCAGTCCCTGTGGAAGGTGCCCTCGAGGCCATTTTGTGAGA